ATAAAAATCTTGAAGTCAATATTTTTTCGATCGGAAAACTCTATTTATCTTCAGATAAATAATAATACCCAATATGAACTATTTTTCATAGGTCCCCCATAAACCCCAAAAAATTGTTTGTACAAAAAAATTGTAAACTAAATCATTATGTATTATTATTGGAAGTCTCCTAAAGAGAAACACAGTTTTCCCAATCGAAAAATATACACTAACCAGAATATGTTTCCGTACAGTGGTTTTTTTTAACCGACTTCCAAAAAAGGAGGAGGTTATCAGTTCGTCGGAATATTTTTTTTTTGTTTTTTTTTGTTTTGTTTTATGTATGTTACCGCAAACTTTGGACCACGTCAACCGATTTCGATATTTTTATTTGCATCGGAAAGGTAGTGTCTCAGAAGTGGTCCCATACTAATCCGGTTTAGATCCGATAACTGGATCATAAGATATATATATATATATATATATATATATATTTTATTCGAGAATTGAAGTCGTTTTTTTTGCTAAAAATTACTTGTTAATATTAATAATGTTTTTGGTAATGAATTTTTTTCGTAAATTCTTTATGGAAATATAGTTCATTCGGCATCAAATGGCACATAAATTAATGTTTCAAAGTGTTTACAAAATTTAGGAAAATTCGACAAATTTTCACAAAAATTTTCAACTTTTAAACAAAATTTTTTAGAATTTTTGAGTATGCAGTTTTGTAGTTCACTCAATTTCAGTATAACAAAATGCAAGTTTTAAGTGGCTATATTCTGCCGTTGATTTTTGAGATTTTTTTTTCACCCTAATGTACATATGTAAGTCCAAGTACACATGTAAATACTAATGTATATACATAAATACACATAATGACAATCTGGACGCTCTATAAGTGCCTCAACCAAGCGCAGCGGAGATTATGGCGATATCGACGACGACGGCGACGATGAATTTGTCCGTCGATAACGTAATGGCAAGGCTCCAAGTAAATAAGTAGGAGCGGCAGATTCAAAGCGTGTTCAATCAAACTGATTGCCGGCCATGATTGCTGAAGTTGTTTGCATTTAGTATTCCACTTTTTTCCAACACTTTCAATAATAATATTTTTTTTATTTTAAGTTGGATATGTTTTCGCTTTTGTTATGTCAACAAGCGTAGTTAATAATTGTTGTTGCTTAGAAAATGTCACACAACGCTCAAGTACACTAAACAACATTCTTACACACTTACATACATACGCACATCGACATTGCTTATTATTAGATAAATAAAGCAAATGCAGTAAATAAAAAAAATAAAAAAAAAATATGGTTGAAAACATGAGCTGTAATATTACAAATAATAACAAATCAAACACTTTCAGTTGTCACTTGAAACAAGTCAACTTCAGCTGTAACGTCAACAAGAGACAGCAAGTCATATGGATGTAGATATGTATGTATGTATGTATGTATACATGCATCCCAAAACCAATACATAGGCATTCACCACCTAGAACGCAGGCACAAGCGCTTTGGGAACCGATGTTCTGTTCTGGAAGCNGCAATACTACATAGGCATTCACCACCTAGAACGCAGGCACAAGCGCTTTGGGAACCGATGTTCTGTTCTGGAAGCAAACTCGTCTACTTATCACTGATGCCACACGCGCTGCAGCAATATGCCACATAACTATGTACATATCTACATACAGTCAGCGTCAAAAGTATGAAGACCTTGACGTTTTGACTATTGTATTTCTTTACGCCTTGTATTTTCCATATTTTCCGTATCAAATTTATCTTATCTAAACATCTATACACTATAGATATTAAAGAAAAATTAATATGAGCGTCTTTATTAGAGCAATAGAAGCCAAACCATAATTTTTAGAATTTTTGTCGGTCAGACTTTCTATCTGTCTGTATTGTTGTACGCTAATCACTCGAAAACTAATGCTTGAAGTTAAATGCAGTTTTCACCTGTGTGTTGCTAGAGTTCTAACTTAAAATAAAGAAAGAAAAAAAATTGAGAGTTGCCACCTGTTTGAAAATTGCAGTTTAAGTAAATTGATAAGATAAAATATATGTTGCATTATGGCTGTCAAAATAAAGAGGTTTAAGAAGGCTTACAGCCGAAAATATTTTTGTGGAGGTTGCCACATGATTGAAAATTTTAATATAGTTTAATTGATAAGATAAATTAAATATTGCAACATGGGTATCAAATTGAAGAGGTTTGGGAAAGTTTACTGCCGAAAATACATATTTTTGAGGAGGCTTGCCACCTATTTTTTTATTGTATTTAATTAGATTGATACATATATGAAATATTAAATACGGGTATAAAACAACACAAAAATACTTATAAGTCGCAGTGGAGCACGCCGGGTAATTGCAATTTTTTTTTTTATAAAAATATAGTTAAAAAGTTTTTTTTTATTTCATACAGAGCTCGGGAAAATGCAAGAAATCACAAGAAAGTGCAAGCTTCAAGTCGGTAAAAATTACCGTTAATTTCAAAGATTTTTTTTTTTGAGGTTGTTGCGCATTTTCTTCCATATAACGTATGCAAAAAAAAATTCTCTAAACTCAACGGTAATTTTTAACGACTTGGAACTTGCACTTTGTTGTACTAAAATTTAATGTGCTACAAAACTGCATAGTCAAAATTTTTCTAAGAAAACGAATTGAAAAGTTGAAACTTTTAATTAAAATTGTTTGGTATTGCTTGCATTTTATTGAGTTGTGTATGAAATTTAAAAAATTGATTCATGAGGTCTTTGCTCTTGAATGAACTATATTTTTATAAAAAAACGGAAAAATTTGGTATGGAAAATATAAACAAAAAAAAAATCGTCAAAACGATAGGGTATTCATATTTCTAACACCGACTGTATACATACGTATTTGAATACGATACAGTTTGCTTGTTGTTTTTGTTGTAATATCAATAATTTACAATGCACTTATCGGTTTACTGTTATTTTACAACTTTCCAACATTTGCCATCAACGAAAAAGCCATGTAATATTTCTACTTTTATTTATTTATTTAGAATGCTTGGTGTGTAGTTGTAATTACATATTTGCAACACTAGCAAACATGTTTTACACAAATACATATAAATATATCTACTTATGTAAATATTTACGTATGTATGTGCGTAGGCTAGCCGGATTTGCTTGGTATTTGTTTAAAGGAATTTATTATTTATAAAATATATTTGTTAAGACTAACAAATTTGTTGATTTGCGAATTGACATTCTTGTAGTGGAGTTTCCAAATTAATCCGATAAGGAATATTTTCACTTTATTTCCAAGCGGAAGATTTAGTCTCGCCTTCTGTTAAGAGTGTAAATTTTAAAACTTTAGTGGAGTTTCTCCGAGAAGTGAGAAGGGGTATGTGCATTTTACATTCCTCATTTTCCAAGAGGGATGCTGCTTTGCAATGTAGATAACGGAGGAATTTAAAAATACTTATGCCGAATTTTCACTAGGCATTGAAATGACAAAAAATTTATGCCATTTAAAAAATGTCATGTGGAAATGAACTTAATTATTAATTTAATGTAATGAATTGAATGTAATTATTTTTTTAATGTAATGAATGAAAATATACTTTTAAGAAAATATTAAGTTAAAATTTATTTAAATTGTTTAATTTATCAGAAAAGCGTGATCACAGTGGAAATTGAAATTTTCCTTGATTGTGAGAAAAACAAGCATAACAAATTTTACAACTAATAATCCGAGATTTGGCTGTGTAAAGGGCTTATTAACAAAAGAGCTTTAATTGAGATTATATTTATATGTAAACGTACTTTAACGGATTTTACAGTGGATGGGTGTGTTACCTATTCAGCTCTACATTGCCAGCTGAAATGACTTTTTTTTTTAAAAGAAGCTTTTCAAGAGCCGCGGTTGGTGTTGCTCGAAGCTGGGCACCACTGGCCCGGCCCGCACAGGGTAGTGGTTGGAGTTCGCTTAGCTTGGACTGCGTGAACTTTACATGAAAAAGATTTCATGAAAATAAATTGCCATTTGAAGACTTTAGAAAAAAATATACATACATTAGGGCGGGTCAATTTTTTTTACTGTGGGCCTATAGCATAAGTGGATTCTATGTTGGCAAACACCAATTTGATTTTACACCCATTGTTTATTCGATTTTTGTGAATTACAAGTAGAATCCTTCGGTGCTATACGCGCATAGCTGAAAAAATCTAAAAAATTGATATAAAAATTTATCCGACATATGTATATATGTATATCGTCATCTGAAATGTAAAATAACGTAACAACATCGTCACTAAATTGCTTAGCATTTACCTGTGCAGTTGTTTATAATTTGCCTACCAAAGTATTAGGTAGTACCTTCTTCAGTGCTTCGGAGACCACGTGGTCAGTGTCAGGCACAGTAACCTCCACTACAATCTGGTAAATTCGGCTTCTTCTCAGCTGTAGCCAGTTTCTAGCGGTTCGTTGCACTGAAGCATGCAGTCAAGTACCTACTCACTCCTAGTATCTACTCCTTTTTGTTGGTGTTGCCTTTGCTCAGCCCTACGAATCGTGTAACGCAAATCAGTATTGTCAATCTATTACATGATTTGTCGGCAAGCGGCTAGGCCTTTGAAGCTCTATCGGAGTCTTAAGCGCACATGTGTATATGTACATAGAACGCGTTGAATGATTTGTGTACTTAGCGTTGATTTGTTGACACCAAGTAGACAGCCTAACAAATAATTGCAGCAATCACAAGAAACAAATAAATAAATTGTAATAAAAAAACAGTCCGCGCAACTTAAGCAATCGAAGTTGCTTATCAGCGCGCGTCCACACACCGCGTACCGCGTACCGCGTACCACTGATAACAGTACACGTATTTTTAATTAAATTCTGTATTTGTATTTGTTTATCGATTTATATTTGCGCTCTATGGTAGCAAGCATAAAGCCTTCGCGGCTACCAACCTCTTCTTCCTCTAGTTTGTTCACTTTGCAATGCTTCACTCACGATTTCCTTTATTTATAGAACGCCGTTTCAACTCGACCGACTGCATCGCCTACAGCCGCCACCGCACAACCCGTCGCGCCGATCCAGCAACACCCCACGAACCTCAGCACCTCCGCACACACCGCTGCCGCTGCCAACGCGCCGCAGCCCACCCTCACCGCATCGGTTGCGTCCGCTGTCGCAGCTGCTGCCGCCGCCGCCGCTGCTGCTGCAGCAGCCGCAGCAGGCGCTGTACCACCGCCTTCTTCTACCACCAGCAATAGTCACGCGAACATCAGCGTCGTGCCACCGAAAGGCAGCACGTCCACAGCAGCAACGCCGCTAACCATCACCTCCGCCGCCGCCGCCGCCGCTGCCGCAGCTGCTGCAGCCGCCCAACACCACAGCGCCAACAATCCAATGGCCGTAACATCGACAGTGCCGCCGGGCGCGCGCTCTATATCGCCATGTTCGGCCGCTGCCACGCCTTACGGCAGCAGTAGTATACCGGGTGGAGCCAGCCTCAGCGCGAGTGGACCCGGAAGTGGTGTAACAGTTTCGGTGATAGGACCACCAGGAAGTGGGCCACCAGGTATGCCGCCAAGTTTGGGCGGTGGACCGCCGGGCGGTCCTGGTGCGGGTGGTATACCACCACCACCGGGTACACCGGGCTCAAATCGTTGCTGTGATACTGGCCGCACAATCTACACGGATCCCGTTAGTGGCCAATCGCTTTGCTCGTGTCAATATGACATACTCAGCTATCAGCGTTTGGCGGCCGCCGGCGGACTTGTCACCGGACCGGGCGGAGTGCCAATAGGCGTCTATCCGGAGGGCATGTCTGCATACCTATCGGGCATAGCGACCGATCAGCCGCCTTTCTATGCGAATCCGGTGAGTACTTACTGTGTATATACATATCTACTCTCATTTGTATTGTATGTATGTTTGGTTGTTTGTAGACGCAAGTCATTTTTGTAAAGAAAGAAAAAAAAATATCTTCATTGCAAATTCCGCTGCGGCTGCCGCACCAAGGCAAGGCTTGTCCAACATTGTTGTTGTCACTGCATATTTGATGTCATATTTTAATGTGCGCCGTCTGCGACAAATTTGCTTCATCCGAACTGCAACAACAATGCCGCCGCTACCGACAACAATAGCCGCCTGCCTGCCTGCCTTAACAATATAAATTTCTTCACTTTTTTTGCAATACTTTTTCACCACAACGCTGAGGGTGGTCGCACAATTCCTAACCCGCTTTTGTTACTACAGCTCCAGCCAAGCAACGCTCCCTGACCTCTCTATCTGGGCTTAGCGATATTTCATGCGCTTTGCAGACTTGTCTTTGCTGTTGAAAAAGTGGAAATGGTGAATGGCTCAAAAGAGGTATTTTTTTCCAGCCAAATGCAATACATAGTTTGCATAGTCTATGTGCGGCGACCTTTTGTGGCATGCAACATGCTATGCAACGCCAACGCCACCGCACAACGAACATTTGTCCGCCAGCACAGCAACAACAAGCAAGCAAAATAATACAATTGACAATACGCGACGATCACACTTGGGTGTTGGTTTGTTGTTATTTTGGTTAGCCAGCGTCGGTCGTTGGGTCGTTGCGCCGGCGGCGACTGCCCAACAGCGCACAGTGGTCAATAAATGGAGTTTAATGTTTATAATTCACTGCAGCCGACATTTCTCAACCAATTTGATTATTATTATTTAATGAAAGCTAATAAAATTTGCAAGAGAGACTAGTTGAGCCCAATTTTTGTTTGTTTATATTAAATTTTTTAGTGCAAGGTGCAGAAAAGGTGCTAAATTTGAAGAAGATCGATTCTCCTGTTCCAGCTAATAAATGTTTCATAACAAAAACTAGTTAAAAGCAATTGTAGGGCTCTCCTAAAATGATAAAAAGAATGAAAAAGAAATAATTTGAAATTTTATAAAAAAATTTTCGACAAAAGTATTTTTTTTTTGTTTTTGGTGTTTATAAAAATTTCGGGTCGCTAAGAGTTCTCGATGATTTTATTAGCTTTCATTTAAAAAATAATAATCAAATTGGTTGAGAAATGAAGGCTGCAGTGAATTATGAACATTAAATTCCATTTATTGACCACTGTGCAGCGCTGGCATTTGGCATATGCGCTGAGTTGACATTTGTGGCATCTTTTATGTCTTCGCCAAATGTTTAATGCGAACATTGACTTCCCGCCGCGCAGCGGTCGAAATAAATTTAATTGTTTGGATGCATTTTTTTTTTTAATTTTTATTCATGAAATTTATTTGGCAATTTTGAGGCACATAAACAGGTACATATGTATGTACATGATTAGAAGAGAAAGGATTGAAAATTCGAAAATATTTTCTTTTTTGTAAATTCGCAAGTAAATGATGTCTTCGTTTATTTACGATTTGGTTTGACAGAGCTGCAGGGGTTCATTGTTTAAAAATATTTATTTTTTCCTAAAAATTGTTTACAAATTAATATGGCATGTAACTGGGAAAATAGATGAGACTACTGACCTACGTTGGGTTTGAGCAAAAAAAATTATATTTTAATTTTGTTTACCGAAGAGTCCCTATTTATTTGTTTTAAAAATTTCCAGACTTTCAACATAAAAAAAAGAAAAATCGGAAGAATGAATTTTCATAAAAAAATGAAAATTTTACAGTTGGCTTATCCGAATTTATTGCCAGAGATATAATTACCTTAATATAGAAAGGCCCTATGTAAGATTTTTGTTTTTTTTTTTACAGAGTAGTTATACAACTTTTTAAAAAGTCAAGTTCTTCCGTTGTGCTTTTCTTCATTACACTGGCTTTTAGTAAAAATATAAACCAATTTTTTTATGTTGTAGTTGGTTAAATTCGATCAAGTCTGTAGTCAGTAATTTACCGTACTCAAGGAAAGTTTCTAAAAATTTTAATTTTGAAAGTCTAAATTATTTGATTATTGAATTATGTCATTATATTTGTGAGTTTATGAATATTTTTCGACTCATATGTTAGACGCGGTGCCGCTATTTCTTAAATGAATACCTCGAATGCATCCGTAGTGTTACCAGATCTTTGGAATTCTCCTGAGAGAATATTGAAAAAAGATGCCGCCATTTTGGAATAAACTTTACATACCATTAACGATTCCCTACACTGGCACTGTAGTTGGACCTCGCCAAGCTGCTGAGCCTACCGAGGTCTAGACACTCCCACATAACTTTGTCTAGGATTTCTGTAGTCAAAATTCTTAAAATGTTTGTGCTCTATCAGTCCTTGCCCTATTCCTAGCTATTATAAGTCCTTCCCGAATCCTTAAGTCCTCTATGCTTAAGTATAAGGAGAAGTCGGTGAGTTTCCTACCATCTACCATCTACCAATGAATAGAAAGATTATTCCTAGTAGTGGTAACTTCAAGTGGTCTACATACATATTTATGTATTATTGTGGAAAAATCCTGCGTTCTCAAGATGAAGTTCTGTAGCTGCTGAAATATGATCCGACAAAATAAGTCCAGGCTGAGATGATTCCACCTCGTCGTCTGTGAAACCGTAACGCATGAGTCCTTACAGGACAGTTACCTGTTGGGATGCCTGCCCGCTTCGATAGTTGGCGCTTGGCCAGCCAAGGAAGCTCTGCTGACCATCTACTGTCCACCAGAGACCAGAACTTTTGTAACTTTGCCTGCCGGGTTTTCGCCCATTAACTCTGCTGAGCCGATTAAAATCCCATATTTCCTTTCTTCCAGGGGAGACAACCACGAGGGTACATTAACTAGGTATTCCATCAGCCTTAAAGATAGCTGCATTGCCTGGTGTGCCCTGTGGCCCAAATCAGCTCAATTTGGAGGTATTTCCATGCAAATGGTAGAAAATGGTAAGACATTCCATGACAAGTTTCCATCGCGTAATAAGCGAAGCCAGGCGACTGTCGTTTTTATTGCGGTCGCCTTTGCTTAAAATATGCTGTGGAAATCCAGGAGTCTACACATGAGTTTAACGGAGAGTTTCTGGTAGACATCACTCCTCCAGCTCGAACTAGGTACTGGCGGGTGTTATGTACACTGACTACATCTTAAGTCCAGCTAAAGCTGATCCCGAGGATTTTCTTAGTAGGTAAATTTTTTCTTGGTATCAGCACTGGTATACGAGGAAACCCGAAATCCTATTTTTGAAAGCAAAACTACCTAAAATCTCACAAACGTGAGTTTTCAGTTATAGGAGATCCAAAACTTTTGAAATGAGTTATCCAAAGATAAGAATACAAAAAATTAGGGTAGCCCCATATTCGATGAAGCAATGCGTGGCGGTTGTCGATTAAAGCCCAGCTCAATTTTAAATGATGTAGTCAAGAACCTTATTAATGCTATTCTAAGCTAAAGGCTTAGCATTGGACAGGTTAGACCCACTGCATTCTTCATCTCAAACTAGCAACGAAAAATTTAGCTTAACCATTTCATAGTCAAAGAATAAATGCTGTTACTTTATTCAAGGTATTATCATCAAACCACATCTCGTTTTTGTATTCAAAATCATAAAATTCAAATTCATAAAATTCCAAATAATAAAAATGTGTTGACCCAAAAATCCCATAAATTCATTAGTAAACATATTTCAGGTTTTTTTTTTGTTTTGTTTGATGTAGCAGAAATCAATAAAAACCTCGAAACAAATCCATCAACCATAAATACAAAAACCCGTGAACAACAACAACAACTATGCTAAAGCGCTCACTCAAGACACAAACAACATATTTTATTAACTAGTGGGGCGCTGATCGTTCGAATTGATCGAATTTTAAAAAATGGAAATGTTCTTTGCATAACACGCATTTCATTTCAACAGATATATCTACTATAAGTATAAGTATGTATGTATGTATGTAGATATATATTACCTAATAAAAATCGACGAATTGAAAATTAAAACATTGCGGCATATTTTAGTCGCTTTTTGTGACTGGAAAGGAGTTTTGTTTCAATTTGGCGCTTTGGTGGTGGCGATAGAAAAAAGCTAAACAACAACAACAACAAAAACAAAAAGGCGAAATATATTTTATGACTTGCTGGTTAACGACATAAATAACAAGTTTGCTAGTCGTTAAGCAAAAGCGACGAAAAAGCTACAACAACAGCAATGAATAAATAAAAATAAAAGGAATAAGAGCCGCATAACTGCAGCCACTGAAAGAAACAATCACATTGTTGGCCGCCGAACAACAGTAACAAAAACAATAACGCCAACGACAATAGTAACAGCAACGGCAACGGCAACAGCAACGGCAACGAAGACGATCTTCTTAATACAACAATAAATAAATGTATTTTACTACGCTTGAATTCTTAACGATCTCTAATTTCGTTTCAACTTAAATTGATCCATAAATTCGTCAACGGCTTTAGCTGAGTGAGTTGATAATAATGCAGGAAGAAAAAATACTAAAAAATAGCCAAAACAAAAAAAAACACGAATTAAATAAACTTAAAAATAAGTAAGACAAAAAAAGCGCCGAAGCAGCGAAAAATGCACAACAACAATCGGCAGCAATCCAAGCGCTTGATCGCCCAAGCCGTTGGTTGGTTGGTCTGTTCGCCAGCGTTTGCTTGAGCCCAAAATGTAAATGCCAAA